AACCCCATAAAAAGTATATCCTTGGAACCGGGGGATCTGGGTGAACCACATATCCAAAATTCACCCAGATCCGTTCAGTACTTTGGAAAATACAGTTTAATGCAGATTCTGCAGAACATATACAGGCTAAATGAAAAACAATCACTGTATAATGTGTCCCCTGCTGTATAGTCCAAAACCACTGCACGATGTCTCTGTGCACCAAATACTGGCGAGATGGCACCGTGTTGAAAAGTCCAAACAGTGTCTGTGAGTTAAAATGGCCGCCATCCATTGTTCTCACCATGTGCTTCTGATACAGTAAATGGTGGCCACCCAGTAACTCCACAGTATGTCCCCAGATGGTTCTTAAAGGGCCAGCAGCAGCACAACACAAATCCATTATGCCCAAATCATGTCTTTAAAGGGCAATACATCCCAGGGGCCATAGTCACAGGGCAAGAGGCGGGCAAGCAGTCCTCTCCAGGCACAAGTGGCGAAGGGCACTTCGTCACAGTCAACAAATACCGATTTTCAGCGTTTCACGGCACATATGCAGACTGTGGAAAAAGGACCATCATAGAGTGCTCACTACCAACAGATAAGGCTGGTTTATCAACTTTTCTGATATAATAAAAACAGTTGTAACACATGGTTATTTGGGTTACTGTCCCCTTCATGTCAACTTGAAAGATGATGGCCATTCTCCTCTGACCCCTCTCACCCACAGAAGTGCTGCTCACTGGATGGTTTTTGAACCTCTCTCTATAAACTTTTTTTAATGTTGTGCTTTAAAATTCCAGGAGATCGTCAAATTCTAGAACACTAGATAAAAGCATGTCTGGCACCAACAATCATACCATGGTCATAAAGGAAGACTTTTTATGAATAACTCAAAGACTTTGATGGAATTTGAGTAAATGTAAAAAGCACTTGTATGCTACCAGAAGACAAGATGTAGAACTTTCTACATAAAGACAATGACATGCACTAAAGTTTCTATGATATCTCACTACACATGTGCAAGTACATCTGGGAGAGACCCGTTGTCGTGACCTCTATTTTGCCCTTTTATGCACTCATAGGTGAAGCAACCCCAAGGAGATGAAGACCATTTTGAAAAAGATGATCGCACTCAGAACAGAGAGAGATTTAGGACAGTACTGATATATACAAATAGCATAGATATATCGAAGAAACCTGATTTCTTCTTGTCTCCCCTTGTTTCACCACGTAAGTGTAAATTCCATAACTTTGGGAAGAGAGTTGACTAAAATGCTAAAAAGTCTAATTTTTGGAACAACAAAGTAAGTGATTGCTACAGAAACAAGATGGCGGCTCTAAATCAGTCCAGTTCCAGGTTTACGTTAACTATATCTTTTTGTTTCCACCCCCCTTGTATATATTCTTCATTTCTGCAGACCAGCTAGGAAGATTTCTACAAAACAAAAAACTAAATGTTGTGGATTTCAACATGGAGAAATATAAAACAAACAAAAAATAAAATAAAATGCATCTGCAACTTGCTAAAAATTTTTGCAAATGTATTTGTTTCATATTTCTTACATAGCACCCTTCCTCTCATCCTCGAAACAAAAAGTCAGTATGCAGAAAAGTATGGAAATCCTTTAGGGCTCTATATATCCTAGATATCGTTAGCATTAAAGGCTGTGGGTTGCTAAATGTTGATGAGAGATGGGCACTGTTCTAATTACATTACCAGGACTGGCATTTATTTCCAAACTGCATGACTACGTGCTTTGCACTAATATAGTGGATTACTGTTGTTATTCCAGATACAGAGAACATACACTAATAATTAGATTTTCCTGTACTGTTCTGTAGCAATTAAAGGCACAGAGAATTAAGTTGACGTGTGCTTCTCCGGTTCCAGAGCTTGTTTGATTGGATTGGTGATAAATCGGAGGAATAGAAGCAGACCGTTGAATCATTTACTGGAACATACACACAGAAACCTCCAGAAAGTCCTGCAGGGGAAATCACAGCGTTCCTTGCCCTGTGATTCTCTAACATTCCACGCAGAACCCTGCCTCATATTAGGGAACCATGCCAGAACCTGTCACAAGAGAATTGTGATAAAGTCCCTTGTTTATACAGGTTTATTAATTGTAATATTTAAGGATTACGTTTGGACAGGTACTTGGGGTCAAGAATATGTAACAAGCCTGATTCTATAAAGGAGAAAAATCGTGGGATATATATATATATAAAAACACTAAGAGGGTTGTTCCATACAGCGAGAATCCAATGTGAATTTCAAATTTAAGGTCAAATTAGCCAAAACTGAAAAAATTATTTTAGCCAGCTAGGCTTCTAATCTGCTACTTTAACATTAAATGTTAAATTCACTTTGAATACTCACTGTAGTGATTAACCATGTAAATGTACAACTTGACCCACTTTAATCATACATGACGCTTGTACTTCTGTTTTAATCATACATACAGCTTATTTCGTTATTTCTATAAATGATTTTCTTTCGATATTTGAAAGTGATTCAGAAACAGATAACTTTGTCAGAGTGAGAGAAAAAAAATGAAAACAACAGAAAGCAAACAGCTTGTTCTGCGAATTTGTCAGGAATTTGGCGCGTCCAAATGTCACTGTGATTGTGTCACTTGTCCTGGAAGACCTAGACCTTCCAGGTTTTGTTTAAAAAATCTGTGACAAATTACCTCCATGTAGTTGTGTGATTATATATAACGGTCAACCTTCATGACCGCCAACGCTAAGAATGTATAGATAGCAAATTGCTGTTGTTTTCCTTTTTCCTATTGAAAATTATTACGGTCACATCTGATAGCTGATTAAGAGCATAATACAAGGGGAAAAAACAACACGTCAGGGAAAAGCGATCCCAAAGTTAAAGCTACATAGTGTCATCCTCTATGTCTCCAATATGACGGCTGCACCCCTCTCACATAACTGCATCAATGCTCCGAGCTGACCCCAAGTACATCCCTCTCCACCCGCAAGTCCAAGGCGCCAGTAGTAAATCAGAGCATTTTAGAGAATATAATTTTCTTTTTTACAAAAAATAGGAACCAAGATTGCTACGTGCAGAATCCAACTCAAGTATTTATTCAATTAAATGGGAAGCAAAGGACTCTTTTCTTTAAACAAAGGGGCACAATTAGCACAGGGGCAGGCAATGTTATGGAGATAGGTTGACCTGTAGCTTCGCAAGATAAAATGTAAATAATTTATGCTTTTTTTTTTGATAGGACAGTCATTGGCAGAGCATTTTTGGGAGGTGAAAATTTGGACAGCAGTGATATTTTAAAAACAACCAGTTATCCGGCCTCTCTGTCTCTCTTTTTTTTTCTCTCACTAGTGATGGCTGTAATATTAGCAATAGTTATGGCAGCTGGTCAATTTAAAAGGTAGTCTAAGTGTAAAATAAATGGTTCTTTATCTCTCACAAAATTCCACGTTTATCGATATGGTGGACAGCAGCAAGAAGATATTCCTCTATTTGCTATAAACATGTATTCACTTTGCAGGAGAGAAACATTTAATTGGAAGAGAGCTAAGTGACTGGCCTTGTAGGAAATCAAGGTATTTAACAGGTCATTTCCCTCAGGGCCACTGAACACCTTATCTTCATCGCCACTTAAGGTAATCCCCCAGAAACACTGTGCAGTAAATGTGTCCAGCAAATGAAACACAGAAGCCATTCCTTGAGACTAGACAGTTTTTATGAGGTTTATGTTAAGAGGGACTGTTTACTTTGGAGGGTAGGATTTTTATTAAACAGATACATTAAAACAATAAAATCCATGTGAAACATTGCTAGAGAGGTTAAAGAGGCAATGGGCAGGTGGGGCGCATCACAAACGTTATGCACAGATAAAGGATAATTAGGACACATAGAGGGAAAAGGAATGCATGATCCCGATATACCAGCAGCCTTAACAATGCCATATTCTAGCAACAGCAAAAAAAAAATAAAAAAATGACAATATGACTTTTACTCAGCCGTCTTAGCTACACAATCAACCAACACGGAAAAGATCCCCGCTACCTACAAAGTTCCATAATACGGAAGCTCACGGCACACGCTCATATACACTCTAACTCAAACAGGGTCTTACACAACACACCAATGTAGACCTGCTGCAAGAATACCAAATCAGCATAACTATGCACCTCAACACGAACTCACTTAAGATTAAACCAAAGAGAGCGGCTAATCAAAGGGTTAATATATATACCAAGGACCAACAAGAACTTTAACTATAACACACACCAACAACACACACACCACAAACTAGCTGTACCTGTGTTCTCGCACATCGCCATACAATATATAATGACTACTTAAACTTAACTGCAAAACATATGGCCACTTAAATGGTAGGTAATGTTACTATATAGCCACACACAAGCATAAACCAGACTAGATACAACCAACACACACGATTCTGAAACACTCAAGGGACCAAGGAAACCAAGCAGGAAACCATAGAGCCATCTGACAGCGAATTATCCTATGACCTAGAGCCCAAGACAGAAATTACAATACCAGAGATACTATGTATTGTGAAAAACTGGATGTACCCCTCCCCCTTCCTTCCTTCTTTTTTTCTGTACCCCCTTTGCTTAATTGTACTTTACAAAATAAAAATTTTGAATTACAAAAAAAAAAATTCCATATTAAAGGAGACTTTAAAACGCCATATAACAGCAACCTTAATGTCATGTACCAGCAATGGCTGGTCTTAACAATGCCATGTACCAGCAATGGCTAGCCTTAACAATGCCATATACCAGCAGCCTTAACAATGCCATATACCAGCAACGACTAGCCTTACAAATGCCATATACCAGCACCAGCTAGCCTTAAAATTTCAGCAAGCCTTAACAATACCAAATATTACCATGACTAGACTTAACAATGCCATATACCAGCAATCGCTAGCCTTGCAAATGCCATATACCAGCAATGGCTACACATAACAATGCCATATATCAACAACAGCTAGCATTAAGAATGCCATAAACAAGCAACGACTAGCCTTAACAATGCCATATACCAGCAACGCCTAGCCTTTACAATGCCATATACCAGCAACGCCTGGCCTTAACTATGCCATATACCAGCGACTGCTAGCCTTAACAATGCCATATACCAGCAGCCTTAACATTGCAATATACAAGCAATGGCTCACCTTAACAATGCAAAAGATAGACTAAAAAATGCAATAAAAATGCTATCCGTTGCTGGTATATAATATGGTTAAGGCAAGCTATTACTCGTTTATAGTATTGTTCAAGCTGCTGGTATATGACATTGTCAAGGCTAGTCATGGTAATATTTGGTATTGTTAAGGCTAGCTGTTGTTGTTTTGAAGCATTGTTAAGGCTAGCCGTTGTTGGTACATCGCATTGTTAAGGCTAGAGTTGCTGGTATATGGCATTGTAAAGGCAAGCCATGGCTGGTTTGTGGCATTGTTAAGACAAGCCGTTGCTGGTATATAGTATTGCTAAGGCTAACCGTTGCTGGTTTTGTGACATTGTGAAGGCTAGCTGTTGCTGGTTTATGGCATTTTAAATGCTTGCTGTTGCTGGTATATGGCATTGTTAAGGCTAGCCATTGCTGGAATATAATATTGTTAAGGCTACTAGTTGTTGGTATGTGGCATTGTTACGGCTAGCCTTTGTTGTTTTGTAGCATTGTTAAGGCTAGCCTTTGCTGGTTTATGGCATTGTTAAGGCTAGCTGTTGCTGGTATTTGGCATTGTAAAGGCTAGCCGTTGCTGGTATATGGCATTGTTAAGGCATGCTGTTGCTGGTTTATGGAATTTTTAAGGCTGGCCGTTGCTGGTACATCGCATTGTTAAAGGCTAGGAGTTGCTGGTATATGGCATTGTTAAGGCTAGCCGTTGCTGGTATATGGCACTGTTAGGGCTAGCCATTGCTGGTTTATGGCATTTTAAATGCTTGCCATTGCTGGCATATGGCATTGTTAAGACTAGCCATTGCTGGTTTATGGCATTGTTAAGGCTAGCCGTTGCTGGAATATGGCATTGTTAAGGCTAGCCGTTGCTGGTATATAATATTGATAAGGCTAATAGTTGCTGGTATGAGGCATTGTAAAGGCTAGCCATTGCTGGTATATGGCATTGTTAAGGCTAGCCGTTGTTGTTTTGTAGCATTCTTAAGGCTAGTCGTTGTTGGTTTATGAAACTTTAAGGCTAGCCGTTGCTGGTGTATGGCATTGTTAAGGCTAGCCATTGCTGGTGTATGGCATTGTTAAGTCTAGCCGTTGCTGGTGTATGGTATTGTTAAGGCTAGCCGTTGCTGGTGTATGGTATTGTTAAGGCTAGCTGTTGCTGGTTTATGGCATTTTAAATGCTTGCCATTGGTGGCATATGGCATTGTTAAGGCTAGCCATTGCTGGTATATGGCATTGTTAAGGCTAGCCATTGCTGGTATATGGCATTGTTACGGCTAACCGATGTTGTTTTGTAGCATTGTTAAGGCTAGCCGTTGCTGCTATATAGTATTGTTAAGGCTAGCCATGACTGTTATATGGCATTGTTAAGGCTCGCCTTTGCTGGTATATGGCATTGTTAAGGCTAGCCGTTGCTGGTTTATGGCATTTTAATTGCTTACCGTTGCTGGTATATGGCATTGTTAAGGCTGTAGGTATATGGCATTGTTAAGGCTACCCATTGCTGGTTTATAGTATTGTTAAGGCTAGCCGTTGCTGGTATATAGTATTGTTAAGGCTAGCCGTTGCTGATATATGGCATTGTTAAGGCTAGCCGTTGTTGTTTTGTAGCATTGTTAAGACTAGCCGTTGCTGGTTTATGGCATTGTTAAGGGTAGCCGTTTCTGGTATATGGCATTGTTAAGGGTAGCCGTTGCTGGTATACAGTATTGTCAAGGCTAGCCGTTGCTGGTATATGGCATTGTTAAGGAATGCCGTTGCTGGTTTATGGCATTTTTAAGGCTAGCTGTTGCTGGTACATCGCATTTTAAAGGCTTGCCATAGTGGTATAGGGCATTGTTAAGGCTAGCCATTGCTAGTTTATGGTATTGTTTAGCTAGCCGTTGCTGGTTTATGGCATTTTAATTGCTTACTGTTGCTGGTTTATGGCATTTTTAAGGCTAGCCGTTGCTGGTATATGGCATTTTAAAGGATTGCCGTTGCTGGTATATGGCATTGTTAAGGCTAGCCGTTTCTGGTTTATGGCATTGTTAAGGCTAGCTGTTGCTCGTATATGCCATTGCTAAGGCTAGCTGTTGCTCGTATATGGCATTGTTAAGGCTGTAGCTATACGTCATTATTAAGGCTAGCCATTGCTGGTATATGGCATTTTAAATGCTTGCCGTTGCTGGTATACAGTATTGTCAAGACTAGCCATTGCTGGTATATAGCATTGTTAAGTCTAGCCGTTGCTGGTATATGGCATTTTAAAGGCTTGCCGTTGCTGGTATATGGCGTTGTTAAGGCTAGCCATTGCTAGTATATGACATTGTTACAGCTAGCTGTTGCTGATATATGACATTGTTAAGGCTATTATATGGCATTGTTAAGGCTTGCCGTTGCTTCTATATGGCATTGTCAGGCTAACCGTTGCTGGTACATCGCATTGTTAAGGCTAGCCGTTGCTGGTATATGGCATTTTAAAGGTTTGCCGTTGCTGGTATATAGCATTGTTAAGGCTAGCTGTTGCTCATATATGGCATTGTTAAGGCTGTAGGTAAACGGCAAGGTTAAGGCTAGCCGTCGCTGGTATATGGCATTGTTAAGGCTAGCCATTGTTGTTTTGTAGCATTGTTAAGACTAGCCGTTGCTGGTTTATGGCATTGTAAAGGGTAGCCATTGCTGGTATACAGTTTTGTCAAGGCTAGCTGTTGCTGGTATATGGCATTGTTAAGGCGAGTCATTTCTGGTATATGGCAGTTTCAATGATAGCCATTGCTAGTATATGGTATTGTTAGGCTAGCCGTTGCTAGTATATGGCATTGTTACGGCTAGCTGTTGCTTGTATATGACATTGTTAAGGCTAGCCATTGCTGGTATATGGCATTGTTAGGGCTCCTGGTATATGACATTGTTAATTCTAGCCATTGCTGAACGGCTAGCCTTAACAATGCCATATACTAGCAGCCTTAACAATGCCATATACCAGCAACGGCTAGCCTTAACAATGCCATATACCAGCAACCACTATCCTTAACAATGCTATATACTAGCAGCCCTTACAATGCCATATACTAGCAATGCCTAGCCTTAACCATGCCATATACCAGCAACGACTAACCTTAACCATGACATATACCAGCAACGACTAGCCTTAACAATGCCATATACCAGCATCCTTAACAAAGTCATATGCCAACAACGGCTAGCCTTAACAATGCCATATACCAGCAATGGCTAGCCATTACAATGCCATATACTAGCAGCCCTAACAATACCATACACCAGCAACGGCTAGCCTTGACAATGCCATAAACCAGCAACGGCTAGCCTTAACAATGCCATATTCCCGCAACGGCTAGCCTTAGCAATGTCATATACCAGCAACGACTAGCCTTAACCATGCCATATAACAGCAATGACTAGCCTTAACAATGCCATATACTAGCAACCTTAACAATGTCATATACCAGGAACGGCAAGTCTTAACAGTACCATATACCAGCAACGACTAGCCTTAACAATGCCATATACCCGCAAGGGCTAGCCTTAACAATACCAAATACCAGCAACGGCAAGCCTTAACAATGCCATATACCAGCAGCCTTAACATTGCAAAATATCAGCAACGACTAGCCTTAATGCCATATACTAGCATCCTTAACAATGCCATATCCAAGCAACGGCTAGCCTTAACAATGCCATATACCAGCAATGGCTAGCCTTAACAATGCCATATACTAGCAATGGCTAGCCTTAGCAAAGCCATATACTAGAAACGGCTAGCGTTAACCAAGACATATACCAGCAATGGCTAGCCTTAGCAATGCCATATACCAGCAACAACTAGCCTAAACAATGCTATATATCAGCATCCTTAACAAAGCCATATACCAGCAACGGCTAGCCTTAACAATACCATATACCAGCAACGACTAACCTTAACAATGCCACATACCAACAATGGCTAGCATTAAGAATGCCATATACCAGCAACGGCTAGCCTTAATGCCATATACCAGCAGCCTTAACAATGCCATATACCAGCAACGACTAGCTATAACAATGCCATATACCAACAACAGTTAGCATTAAGAATGCCATACACCTGCAACGGCTAGCCTTAACAATGCCATATACCAGCAAAGACTAGCCTTAACACGTTCGTATGCCAGCAGCTTTAACAATGCCATATACCAGCAACGGCAAGCCTTAACAATGCCAAATATTAGCAGCCTTAACAATGCCATATGAAAGCAACGATTAGCCTTAACAATGCCATATACCAGCAACGGCTAGCCTTATAAATGTAATATACCCACAGCCATACCAATGCCATATACCAGCAACGACTAGCCTTAACAATGCCATATATTAGCTGCCTTAAAAATACTATACCAGCAATGGCTAGCCTTAACAATGCTATACACCAGCAACGGCTAGCCTTAACAATACCATATACTAGCAATGGCTATCCTTAACAATGCCATATACCAGCAACGACTAGCCTTAAACGGCACTGTCATGCCGAACTTACCATTCCCCAATCGATTTCTCTTCTCTCCCTCTCTCAGGATCTGTTCTTCATTTCTTCCTGTCTGCTCCAGTTTTCTTGAAAACATAAGCCAAAGTAGGGACTATTTCTCTTCTGGAGGTTTCCTACGCCATGACCAGCGGAGAAGCAAAGTGTGCTTCGTTTCCGATGGTCAGAAACATTTTCCCACAATACTTAGCTTTCCCCCCTTTTCCCACGATGCTTCCTGTCAGTATTGCCGATAGTCATGTCACTTAGACAGAACGCCAGCAAAATTGCCGAATTGCATCCTAACAGAATGAGAACAGTTTCTCCATTAGTGTTAGGACGCAATTCGGGACTTTGTTCGTATCGGAATTTCATTCGAATGAAACTCCGATCCTATTCATTGCTGCGGCTGCATCTTGCATCCACTTTGTAGATAACTCCCTAATTCCCACGGTATCAGGGAGCTATCTACCAAAAGGATGAAAGATCTCAATTGGTCTTTCAGCCACATTTACTGATACTAAGTAAAGATTACTTAATATAAGTAAATTCAGGGGCCATGAGCGGTGGGTGGGGGCCCTAAAGGATAATGTGGGGAGACCTATTGTCCTCTCCCCCTGGCCCCCACCCCTGAGCGGCGGGTGGGGGCCCTAAAGGATAATGTGGATGGGACCTATTGTCCTCCCCCTTGGCCCCCACCCCTGAGCAGTGGGTGGGGGACCTAAATAGGAATGTGGGGGGACCTACTGTCCTCCCCCCTGGTCCCCACCCCTGCGTGGTGGGTGGGGGCCCTAAATAAGAATGTGGGGGGGGACCTACTGTCCTCCCCCCTGCCCCCACCGCTGCGGGGCGGGTGGGGGCCCTAAAGGATAATGTGGATGGGACCTATTGTCCACCCCCTTGGCCCCCACCCCTGAGCAGTGGGTGGGGGACCTAAATAGGAATGTGGGGGGACCTACTGTCCTCCCCCCTGGTCCCCACCCCTGCGTGGTGGGTGGGGGCCCTAAATAAGAATGCGGGGGGGGACCTACTGTCCTCCCCCCTGCCCCCACCCCTACGGGGCGGGTGGGGGCCCTAAATAGCAATAAGGGGGGACCTACTGTCCTCCCCCCGCCATCCCACCCCTGCGCGGTGGGTGGGGGCCCTAAATAAGAATGTGGGGAGGGGGGCCTACTGTTCTACCTCCGGCTCCCACCCCTGAGTGGCGGGCGAGGGCCCTAAATAAGAATGTGGGGGGGACCTACTATGAGTCATTTTACACAGTGTGTGAAAATTCCAAATAATTTTCCCACGCTGTGTAAAATGACAAAGAGCACTCTGATTGGTTGGTTCTTAGCCTAATTGCAGGGCGCAGCAAGGCTTTATAATCCTCCCCCGCCCTGCAGAGCTCAGTCTGCGTGGAGCCCTCCATGGGTGAAGATGGTTTAATTTTTTTAGCGTCAGGTTTTTACTTTTTCGTCAGGTTTTTTAATTTATTTTTTTGTTGTTTTGTTTTTTAAGTTCGATGCGTTTGATGGTTTGTTATTTGGCCTTTTTTGGGGCTGAAAAATTAAGACTTTAGAAGAAATAAGACATCAAATGGAAAGTTTTATTTTTCTTTTCAGGTTAGTTATTTTATTCCCCCTCACTATTTTTAGGGTGAGGGGGGTAGGTAAGGGATACCTTTTAATTAGGTTGGGGGGTGACTAGGGGCTTGATTGGGGGGGGGATTTAGGGCCCCCACCTGCTGCTCAGATGTGGGGGTCGGGGGGAGGACAATAGGTCCCCCCCTTATTGTTATTTAGGGCACCCACCTGCCGCGCAGGGGTGGGGGCCGGGGGGGAGGACATTAGGTCCCCCCCCCACATTCTTATTTAGGGCTCCCACCCACCGCTCAGGAGTGGGGGCCGGGGGGAAGGACAATAGGTCCCCCCCTTATTGTTATTTAGGGCACCCACCCGCCATGCAGGGGTGGGGGCCGGGGGGAGGACAGTAGGTCCCCCCACATTCTTATTTAAAGCCCCCACCTACCGCTCAGGGGTGGGGGCTGGACAGTAGGTCCCCCCCACATTCTTATTTAATAGGTCCCCCCTTATTGTTATTTAGGGTCCCCAACTGCTCCGCAGGGGTGGGAGCCGGGGGGGGGGAAGACAGTAGGTGTGTCCCCCTATTGTTATTTAGG